ATATATATATATATATGTGTATATATATGTATGTATGTATATGTATATTTATATGTATCTGTATGTAATTAATTCAATGCATTTTATTTCATTCCATTTCAATCAATTCCACCTCAATACAACTCAATGCAAATACATTCCATTTTCTTTAACCCTATTGAAATACATTTCAAATGAACCAAACATCAACTAGTTCGTAGGTTTCCTCTTTTTTGCACTCCCTTGTATAAGTACGAGTGTCCATCATGTACCTTGACAGGCCGACACGTAAGTTCAGCATGTATTCTCAGGGCGATGGTCCGCTCCTTATGCACCCCATTTCTCGTTCTTGCAGCGCCTTGTGAACGGTAAAAATGTACCGTTCGACCCCTCACCGCCTAATCTCATTGACCAGTGGATGGAGTCGCCCGAAGAGATGGAGGGGATGAATCTGATAACTGCGGCGAGCGGTATGAAGACCACGACGGCGATGAAGCGACAGTGCCAGGACGAAACTCCCATCGTGTATGTGCGATCGAAATATACGCTACGTTGATGTCTTTGGCATTGTTGTTGCTGTCTATATATGTTTATACACATCCGTGTGGTTAGAATAGTTAAGATTTGGTAGTCTCTGTGATGGTGCGTTGGATTGGTGGCGTGTTCTTTCAATTTATGTGTGACGTACCTGTAGCCTACTACATATTTGGTCCTGTTTGTAACCGAATAGAACTAATAGTATCTGTGGGTGTGATCTATATGCTGGTTCGACGATTACTCTGACTATGAAACGCAAACGTCATGCTGAATCTGAGTCGTGATTGCGCGAAACTGTCTTTAAGCAATTGTGTGTTGTTGATATGTGCATTCATTTTTTTTTGCAAGGTCTTGTCGTCTCTTGTAGCGATTGTGTGATGTTGATATGTGCATTCATTTTTTTGTAGAGTCTTGTCGTCCCTGTGTGTTTTGATGTGTGCATCGTTTCTTTGTAGGGTGTTGTCGTCTATAGGTTGCAGCGACGGAATTGCCGGTGCAAAGGTTGCGTCCTGCGCGTTCAATAGTTTGTACGGATATGCTTTAATAACTGCTCTTTTCGTATGGGTTACAAGTGGCTTTCCCATCGACCTTAGCGGTCAATGAAAACTGAGACATCGGTTTTGCTGAAGTAACATTCAAACCACAGTTCAAGCGGGGACGTGGTAGGGATCACATGTGTGTAAAATTCAAACAATGCTTGCCAATGTCTGTATCGCGGCTCTAACCTGTTGTCCTCTCGTCTACATCATACGTGTTCAGTGATGTTCTATGCCACATGATCATTGCCTGCTCCACGCAAGACGCGTGACTTCTGCAATTCATTGCAGCTCCTTGTGTGGCAATATTGTTTTGACCTATTTTAAACGCATGTTGGTTCATGGACGTGAATTCGGATATCATGATGATTCCTGATCTTATAGTCCTCTGTGTCTACTATCATGATGATTCCTGATCTTATAGTCCTGTGTGTCATCTATCTACTTCCCCTTCGCAGCACATCGCACAAGTGCCATCGGACTGTATTGGGGCCCATCCGCAAACTACTGATGCAGACTGATGTGAATCGGAGGGGTAGTCCACCCACCCTGTCGCTGCAAACACCCGGGAAACCGGATGCGCCACGAGCAGATGACAGTCATCACTACTTGGGCAAGGAGAATACGAGGGTAGACGATGTTTCTGCACAGGGCCAAGGGGGGATGGGTGCGCTTGTTGCAGCAAGCACGGATATATTACTGGAGACCCCCAGGAAGTCAGGAGCGTCGCGAGGGCCAAGTGCTAGTCACTGTAGGCGTCAGGAGAATACATATGCCCAACATAGTGCAGTCCGTGGATCAGGGGTTGGGGCAAAGCCGACGTCAAGCACAGACGGGGCGACGAGCGTTTGCACACACCAAGGCGTACGGCCCACTCCATCGAAGTATAAGCGACTGCTCAGCGAGGGTAGCGAGCGAAGGGTGCTGCCGACAATAGCCCATGGTGATACTGGTAGGAGAAGTGAAGCGCGTGGCAACCCCGGAGTGTGCGACCGGAACCAGTTCCAGTCCCCGTTTCCCGCATGCTCGATGATGGCAACGGGAAGCGTCCAGACACGAGGTATTAACTGTGTGCAGCAATCAAACACGGACCATACACGCACTTATACGCACACTCACACACGGGAGACGGGCCGGGACGACTACACGCCTGCCATAGGGGAATCCCCATCGACTAGCTACACCCAAGCTACCATGCCATCGCAGGAGGGGCCACGGGCCAAATCACAATCACAACCAAACTTAACGGCCCACACACACCCGGTATCACAGGTGGTTCATGGCTCGATCAGTGACAGACAACCGGACGCACAGCTCGCACCAGCGTCCCAGTCTCTACTCCCGGTCGTAGGGGAGTCACAGACATGCGCTGTGACGGCAACAACAGCATGTGGCGCGGCACAAAGAGGGTGTGGACCCACGCAAACACACACCCACGCCAACAGTGCGGGATCGCACATACCCTGTACACCCCAGCACACACCCCGCGGTAGCTCCACGGTGACTGCACAACCAGATACAGCCATGCGAGAATCTCTGCGGCAGAAGAAGGACGCTGCCCTGAGGCGGAGGGATATGCACACACACTCGCAAGTAACCACAGACACGTCAGCTGCGCCGTCAATGTGGCGCAGCCAGTCTAACCCAGATATGCATACGACCGGCCGGGTCGGTATAGATATAAACGCAAGGTGTGGGGCCTTTGGCAGCCACGCTGGTAGCACTCATTCACACTTAAGCACCAACACAGCGATAGCCCCGGACATGGGTCCTGGCTCCTTGTCGGTTAACAGCCGGATAACGGGGTCTAGAACAAACTCGGGCAGCCATACCCACACGGCAGGTACTGTACATAGCAGTGCGCCAAAGTACTCGCAAACGCACCTCAAGCAGGGCGATAGGGATGGCGAGGGTGTGCACTCGCAAGCCTCGGTGGCTACGCTAGGCAGCTCTCTGCAGATGAACCAATCACAGGATAGTACCGAACTGGTGAAGCACCTGGATGGTACTAGTAGTGGGGGCGGTAGGGCGTTTGTGCAGCCTTCGCCTAATACGGCGTTAAAGATAGCGCTCAAGCAGAAAAAAGCCGCGGCGATCAGGAGGCGGAAACAGGCCGAGAAACTTCGGCGGCAAAGGCAGGCTTCACAGACATATCCGCATCAGGGGTTGGATGTGCAGAATGGAGCTGCCAGTAGTGGTGTGAGCGATGTTTGGAAGAGTTCACAGTCCAGTGGTTACCATAGCAACCAGAGGGATGGGGATATAACGCACCATCGCACGGGCCACTCTCAAAAGTTTCCGTCGCAGAGATGATGGTCTGGAACCAACGACCACTGTATGTAAATCGGATTCAGACATAGCCTTCTAAAATACACAGATAACAGAATAAATTACCATTCGATTTAAGTAATATGATGTATGATCGGAGTGGCAGAGGCGAAACTAATCATGGGTAATACATAAAGTCTGCCTTTTCTATTATTTGGTCTTTTTAACCCTATGGGTTTCATAAATAAATAATCACCTGAGAGGCATATACTCACTCAGGGAAACACTACAGAGAAGAGAGGACTGATACTTTCTACTCTGCGACGATACCATAGATTTATCATGTTGCCATCACAGTCTCACAGTCCCACAGTCTCACGACTCACGACTCACAGTCACAGAGTCAGTCACCCACGAAAAAAAAAGTACAGGCTGACACCGCCTCACACGCCCTCACAGGGACACAGGCTCACAGTCACTGCCAGGTAGCACAGTTATCTCAAGAGTCTAGCGTCCATCCTGTGGCGTACAGTGCAAGAGTTCAAAAACACAGGGAGTATATAGCTACAACTTAAGGGTGTACAACCAAAAACATAGGGAGTATATAGCTACCACTTAAGGGTGTACAACCAGAAACACAGGGAGTATATAGCTACCACTTAAGGGTGTACAACCAGAAACACAGGGAGTATATAGCTACCACTTAAGGGTGTACAGCCAGAAACACAGGGAGTATATAGCTACCACTTAAGGTACACCTGTGGGCTCCACTGATAGCTCGAGTGATAAGTCCTTGCTGCCCACACACGCCATTTCACGATCTCTGCTGTGGCGACCAAGGGTTGCCACATATTCTCAAAGATTCTGCCAGTCTCTCAGCATAACCGGCCAACGGTTCATAAATATACATCCAACAAAGATCTTTTGCATGTACACATGTGTCTACACTTGAATTTTTTATAACAGCGCACGATCACTCGGAATGAGCCCCATTGCGTGCACTGCTTTATGGAGGTTCTCAGCCCAAATCCAAACCGTAGGCGAAGCCATGCACTCCATGATGCTCCCTTGTGCACGTGTGACTGCCCATTACTATAGTGGTACGTTCTTTCTCCACAAGTGTGTGGCAATTCTGTGACATTGGTCTATATATAGGTCGCAAAGTGGGTCTCGTGGGGATAGTTCACACTAATGCCTTGATCGATCGTACTGTTATAGTCCTAGTGTAATCTCTGATATAATCCGTTCCTTCTATGTGTGTGGTGGCTCCGCTAAATCGATTCACATCTTGGCTACATGGAGAGTTTGCTCGGTATGCATTTGAGGTTTGCTTATGGTCAAGTTTTCTGGGAATTGGTATCGGAGTTGTATAAGAGTGTACCTTGTCTGTAGATAGACGTAGACGCACACTAGTCACAACCACAGCGGTGGCCGTCGCTTGCGATGGCGCGGGTTGCAATATCGAATGCAAACTTCGAGGGTTCGAAAGAATCAGCAATCTCAACTTACTTCAAAAGGCTTCGCAAGGGCTTTAGTATACGCCGTCTAACGGCAGTCAGACACAATTGACGTTTACGATTACCCAGGCTAACGCGTGAATTGAACACTTGTGACTCTCGTTCCATGCAACAAACCGCCTTGTGGACTACATCGTTGGTGCTAAGTTTGTGATTTAGTAGTATCAACGACATCATGCTACTTCTTATTAGGGTTTCACCTGCTCGTGACTAGAATGGTGCTCTGTCGCATCACAGAGATCCATGGTCGGCTGGGCAACTAAGGGACGGGCTTATTAACCGCAATACAGCCGTCTATAGTAAGCTTTTGGCGAAAAAGAGAGGTATGAATAATACATCACAGACATCGTTATAAAACTTTACGCTAAAGGCACATGTACTAACCGCATTGCAGATGCCAATAGCAGGCTTGGCAAGAACAAGGATGAAACATAGCGCGTACGATTGAATGAATACATCTGCGAGGTGACTACACTTCCAAGAATTATCCGTGCAACGACCGTAGTTTGTTAAGGATTTAGACGGAATACGAGCACTCGCTCGCGCTCATCTGCGGTGTCCGAGTGTTTATTTGTTGCACACCATCCCTCATGCAATGAAGCTGCCTGTATTACAATCAGTATTTCCCTTGGTCAGATCACGGTCATAGCGCAGTATACACACTTGCGCGTGGGCATTGAAACGCATGCAGTTGATATACACGTCCATTGGCACACTGATGTGCACGCACGTCAGTTGTAGCTTATAACCAACTGAGGGACGAAGCTCAGTCTACCACTAAATATATGTATATATATATGTGTGTGTGTGTGTGTGTGTGTCTAAGTATATATATATATATATATATATATATATATATGTGTGTGTGTGTGTGTGTGTGTGTTGTGTGTGTGTGTGTGTAGTGTA